ACGTACGTAGTAGTGTGTGTGTGTGTGTGTGTGTGTGTGTGTGTGTGTGTGTGTGTGTGTGTGTGTGTGTGTGTGTGTGTGTGTGTGTGTGTAGGAGGGGGGGGCGGAACGTTTTGTTTTTAACATGTTTTCCCGGGGACATTATTACCTTAAGAATAAAAGACACTTGCAAAAAAGAGCTGTGTGGTATCTCCAGCCACACTGTTAACCATCTCTGGAGAGACGGCAGACAACTGTGCTTGGCCAGCCTGTCTCTGCTGGGAGTAACACGATGAAAGCAGGGAGCCATTCAGCCTGGAAATACCCTAGTCAGGAGGAAGACAGACACGGGTCCCCTCAAGAGAGGTGATGGCCAGGGGAGCCAGGAACCGGAGAGGGAGTGCCTTTGGAGGACCATAGAGGGGGAATATTAATGCAGCAGCCCTGAACTGTGACAGGTGCTAAGCCCTAGTATAGACAGGCAAAGCCACTGTTCAAATGGGATATACGGCACCAGCGTAAGTTACAGCTTCACCTGTCTACACTAGGGACCTGCACCCGTACGGCTATACTGCTGGCTGCAATAGGGCAAATCCCCACGTTAGGCAAGGCCTTGTTCTACAACTGGAGATTGCAGGCACACACAGGCTGAGCTTTCCCATTGGGCATTCTAGCTACAAGCCTGACACGCCCCAGGAAAGGGAAACCACATTGCCAATATCGGAACACCCAGTCCCTTGGGATTTCACCGCAGGGGGTCCAGGCACGGCTTCTGCCATTATGTTCGGGTAGCAGGGACACACACGTTCATGGAGCAGACACTCGGCCACAGCTTTTACCTTCTTCCGACACTTCTGACCACTCAGGGTTGGGAAATTCATACTGGCCCATTCGGATCCGTTTTTTCATGCCTGGAGAAATGGCCAGACCGTGGTTGGAATAGAAAGGGGGATACCCACACAGCCTAAGCCAAAGAGAGAGAAAGTAATGAAGTGATCTGCAGAGGGGAAATCCTTTAGACTGCGTTAGAAACGTACTAGATCAAGTTTCCTTGCTTGTATTATAAGCGGAGGTCAGTTCTGGCTAGTTTGCCCAACAGCATCCTTGGACAGCTGAAGTGGGTTATCCCTACCTCTATGAGGGTAATGAGATCAATCTAAGAAAGGGGAAATTTTAGGCCTAAAACAAGAAAAACTCCCCAGCAGGGAGATCTATTAGTCTCTGGAATACTTCTGCAAGGGGCGCGCAGGAACCCCACTGCTTTGCAAATAGGCCGGGCCGAGCACTAGACAGACCCTGTACGACAAGGAACAATCCTGCACTGGCTTGGTCTAGAGAGACTAGGGGCCAGATTTTTAAAGGTATTTAGGTGCCTAAATATGCAGATAGGCACCTAGTGGGATTGTCAAAAGCACCTAGGCACCTAACTCCCAGTAATCTGAACAGGAATTAGGAGCCCAGGTGCTTTTGAAAATCCCATTCGACTCTTCTCTGTGTTTTTAGGTGCCCAAATACCTTTAAAAGTCTGGCCCTAAAGGTACGACTACTCACGGCTGGCACAGCTCCACTGACTCAGGCTCGCGGGACTGGGGCTACGGGGCTCTGAAATTGCTGTGTAGACGTTTGGGCTTGGGCTGAAGTCTGAGCTCTGGGACCCCAAGAGAGGCGAGGGGTCCCAGAGCCCGGCTCCAGCCCGAGCCCAAACTTCTACACAGCAGTTGATAGCCCCGTACCCCATGCCAGCTGTCCCCAGACAGCCACGGCCGTGCCGCAGGTCTTTTATTCCAATGTAGACGTGCCCTACGTGACCCAATAGGTTTGCCTTTGTCTCTAATATTCATGTCATTTCACTGCTCTAGAGAGTCATTTGTCCTGGGTAGGTCTGGGTCAGTCCGCATGCACTGAACAGCAAGGCGGGGTCCACAGGGAACCATCCCAGGCTGGTGTCTTTCTGCAGTGGAGGAGGAGGAGAAGGAAGTCAGATGTTCACGCATGCACCTAGTGCAGCCTTCCCGGCACGCTGCTTGGCCAGACTCCAGGAAAGGACATTGCAGGTTTCACCCAGGGAGCGCCCTGTGAGCGCCCTGCGAGCCTGCTTGGGGACAGATACTGAGAGGGTGGAAGCTGCAGCTCCCCTGGGTTATGCATGAGCGATGCTCATCAGGATGGTACAGGGGAAACCGCTCACTTACAAAATGTACATGATGACGCCCAGGGACCACATGTCACAGGACTTGTCGTACTTCTCCGGGCCCAGCACCTCCGGGGCTGGGGAAAGAAAGAAAAATTCACAAGGCAGTCAGAGACGTTGTGCAAGGAGGCTACGGGGTTAAACACAGAAGTGATGCCTCTGGAGGGAGGAGCTCTAACGCAGGCTGAGACCATGAGTTTGATGGACCAATCACCCCAATCCAGAGCCATTTGACAGTAGACGCAGCTTAGCACAGTTGATGAACTGCTCCAGAGAAGTCCTCCTCTTGGAAAGGACCTAATTATACAGGTTCCCTCACCACGCTGTGCGGGGGGAGCCAGGACTAGACTAGCAAGGGGTGCTACACATCAGGCCAGAGGGGCATTCACAGAGCTGTGTGGGGCAAGTGCCAGGAAGAGTCTCACGTGCCCATACTGTGAATTGCTTATACAATGCCCTGATGTGTGCGAGGTGCATTGCAGAAAGAGGAGATACACATGCCCCTGCCCGGCTTACCTCACCTGGCACGGGACCTGGGATGGCATTTGCAATACACCTGGCTGTAATTGTCACCATCAGCTCCTGAGCAGGGACCACAGAGGAACAGATCTCCAGGCCATGTCTGCCATCAAACCAGTCCCCTGGGTTGCCCAGCTGAGGAGTTTGGATTTTAACACGGCAGCAGGGCTGGGAACCCACAGCCTTTCCAGCTCTGGAGCCCAAACCAAAACTTCAGATCCAAACGCCCCAAAGCAATGGGACTGTCTGGATCAGAGTTCTGCTTCTCAGGCCCAACCCTACACCCCATTACAGCTATAGTTCAAATTGAAGTTATGGGCCTGATGCAGGAATTACTGGGTACAGTTCTCTGGCTTGTGTTATATACAGGCGACCAGACTAGATGGTCCCCTTCTGGCCTTACAGTCTCTGAATCCACAGCTCCAGGCCTTCCCTGCACAAAACAGCAGCAATACCGGGAGATTCTGGATGCCTGCAATCCCCATTCCCTGGAGGGGGGCGAGGCATCTCAGCTTCCCCAGTGACTTACCCACGTAGTAAGGTGTGTAGCACGGTGTGGCCAGGGAGTTGTGTGTGGTGGTTTCTTTAGCAAAGCCGAAATCGGTGAGTTTCAGTACAGTGTTGGGCCTTTTCGAGGTGTACAAGAGGTTTTCTGGCTGTGAAAACACAATGAATAAAAAGCAAACTAAGCGCTGGCCAAGTCCTCCAGGCTCCTACCTCTCGCATAGCCAGGGGCAGCATTAGAACAGTGCCAGCATGTCCGAGTCACTGAAGATTTGACCATGAACATACCAGCGGGAGCCATGTGGTTCGAAGTTAGCCAGAGAGGATTCCCTCCACCCCATTGCAGCTCAACTCTCAGCACTTTGCTGCCTGATTTCCTTCCTTCCCCCCCCCCGGGCAAGACCTGATTTGTAACAGCTGAAGTGGGTCACATATCAGAGATCCCAGAATCATCCCTTCTCTCCCCACTCGCACCCCTCAGCCTTCCAGATCCTAGCTGGGTCCAGAAGCAGAAGTGTGAAGATATGGCACAGTTAGTGGGACTTCCAGGCCAGTTCTATAAACCCCAACACATTCAGGTAAGGATCTACAACTTCTGAGATGGGTTACAAGCCAGTGAGCGAGACCTGGGATATTCTGCAGAGAGCACTGTCTCCCACACCAATTGATACTGAAGAGCTAACAGGAGGGGTGCAGACATTGGCAGTGTGAAGTTGTATAATCAATAGGGAAGGGCAAGTCTCACAAAGCCCTTCCTGAACCCATCCCTTGCCCCAGGGGCTTGGTACTATTCAGACAACTTGCACTGATTTTCCCAACACAATTTTAGATCTTCCGTCTTCATGCTTCTCTTGACAGCTCTCTCTCCGCCCCTTCCCACACCATAATCTCCTCAACCAGGAAGCTGCATCTCTCAGGGAACTGCGTGCACCTTTGCAACTTTTAAATCTGTTGCCAACTGGGGGTGTTTAGCCCCAATTCTCTGGAGAAATGCCAATCAAAGTAACTATATTCTGCCTCTGCAAAATTCCCTGTGGTTTCATTGGGACGTGGGACTCCTCTTCGCTTCCTGCCCTGGGCAACAGTGTCGTGCGACTGCAGAACAGCTGCTGTGGGGTGGCTGCATTTCAGAGGTGGATGGGGGGTTTTTGTTTCTCAACGGCACCACGCCCCAGTATACAAAGCTCTTTGGGATGACAGATGCTATATGAAAATACAAGACCGTATGAACAAGGAAGTCTTGCCTGCTTACAAGTGAATTCTAGAACAATACAAACCTCACCCTTTAAGAATTCTGCTGCTCTTACAGAAAGGAAATGCCATTTTTACAAGACCTCACTGATTCAATGGACTTCACCCTATAGGGCAGGGGAAATGATAAGGGCCAGGTCCATACACCAGAGTAGAGGAGACTTCAATTTCAGCAAGTTATCCACTTCCCCCTAAGCCAAACCAGCCACCATCTCACCGTCTCCATTATGGGCTCTGATTGATCTCTGCAGGTAGCCTGCAATGAAACCCAAAGGCCAGCCGGAGCTGAAGTGGGTTGGCTTTTTCCCCAGCTGACCTCTGCTTTCACGGAGGCCGTTCCCATAGACAGGTACAGAGAGACGGTGCCCAGACCGAAAACCTATGGTCCAAACACCCCCACCTTGGAAGGGTCCAGCTCCTGATCCGAAGTGTCACGTCTCCACACTGACGGAGGCAGAAGTACAAGAGCACAGTGGTCAGCTCTTGTTTGAAAGGAGCCAACAGGAGCCATGAGCCACACTGCTCTTCCTCCCCATCCCGCATTCTCCTGCCTTTCAAAAAGCACGAGTTACTTGAGGCTGGTTAACCTCAGTGGGCCTCTTAAATGCAATCTAGGGAGTGGCTGCAGCACTCCTCTGGATTGTACAATGTTATGTGGGCCAAGACACTGGGGGTCGTGCAAGCAGAGGGCCCTCCGCTAGGGGCAAAGACCTTGGAAACACTCTCTAGCATCCGCTAGGCGCACAGTACCTTAACATCCCGGTGTGCTATGTTAATCGAGTGCAAGTACTGGATGGCTTCTCCAATGCTCTTCATTATTTCTGAAGCCTCTAGAGGAGTTAAAGAAAATTTAAAAGTATTTAAACCTCAGCAATTCAAAGTAAAGCCACCCCCAAGGTGATACAAGTGCATCCCTGAAGGCAAGAGCTGGAGAGCACCGCAGAGAAACCCTCTGAGAGTCAGAAAGCAAAGAAGCTCTTGGGCCTGAAGTCTCCCTTTCCGAGCAGGGTTCTTCACATGGGACCTGCCTGCGAAGAGAGTAGACCTGCTACAATCACTCCCAATAAGAGGGATTTGGGGGAACACCAGCTACTGGCTTTGACCCTAGACTGTTTAGTTGGCTGAGTCTCAGTACGGCTAACAGAGACCACTGCCTGCCACTTCGGGACGTGGGGAGAGGAAGGGAATTGGATAGTCAGAAGCTCGTCTCTCACACTTAGCTGCAGGGTGGCTGGAGAGTGCCAGTGCTGGGAAACTATCTTGCCTCCCTTCCCAAGGAAAAATTTCCGTGAAAATGGAAATTTTTTCCTTTCCAACATTTTTCTGGGGAAAAGAATCAGGTTCTCTTAAAATTACCCACAACGTTTTAGTGAGAGAGAGAACGAACATTTCTTTGACAAACTCTCCATTTTTCAGTCAAACGTCTGGTTGCAGAAGTTCCAACCAGGTCTAAGGCAAGACATTTTCACTCAACCAACATAAAACAGCCAAGGGGTTAAAAAAAAGCCTCCATACCCCGTTCCGTGAAGGCCTGGTCTCCCCTATCTTGAATTCGACTGAAGAGCTCCCCACCATCCAAGCTGAAATACAGAAACAAGTGGAGTTAAAGGTCTAGCCGCTACCTCCCCCACCCATCAGGCCTCTCCAGCGGGCCTTCAAAATCCTCACTGATCATTCCAAGCCAAGCACGGCCAGGAGTCACTGCACCGAGCTTTGGGGAGAAGCCCCAAAACACATTGCAAGGGGTGAGAGATCTTGCAACATTTCTGGCTTTGTTTCCAAGTTCAGGGAGATTAGCCTCCCTTCCTCCCACACCCCGCCTCCAGGTTTGCCCCTTTTGCACCCCCTCCATTTCCAGGCCTCTCTCTCTTCTCCAGAAAGCAGCCAAGAGAGACTGCACTGCAGAGGACTCCCTCCGCTGCAGGCAGGCAATGGGCCAGCACCTGCGGATTTCCTGGCCACATGAGAGCAACCGTACAGAGGCACCTTTACAATAAAGAGAACAGATTGCTCTAGAAACGCCGAAAGTTCCCAGCCTCACTGGCCTACTTTTCAGCAAAAGCCACCGGAGGTACATTCAACCACACAAGCAAGGAGGCATTGAACTCAGAGTTCCACCCAGCCTGTGCACTCGGTCACACCACAGCACAAGCTCCTATGCCAATCAGTCACCTGACACGCTGGGTGGCCGGCAGTCGGCAGACTGACTGAGCACAAGGGCAAATGGGACAAAACACAGCAGCACCCGGGTGCTCAAAGAAGCTCTGCCCCCGGCAGCTCCCACTGATTTCACAGACCCCAGGCCTCAGCCCGGGGGCTTTGGTCTCCCTGAAGAGTTCTGGCTTTTGAAGCCACTAGCCCAAGTTATGCACAGTGAACGATGCAGCTAAAATATTTGAATACAAAACTAACTTCTCTATTCCTCCAACAGCCAGATGGATACAGAGGTCTTGGGGCTAAAGCCCTGGCTGAGGACTCAGTTCCCAGCTCTACCAGTCTCCTTGAGTGACCTTGAGCAAGCCACTTAGCCTCTCTGTGCCCACGCTCCCCATCTACAGGAAACGAGGTTTCCTCTCTTTGTCTTGTCTAGCTCTTTGGGGTAAGGACTGTCTCTTGGTACGTGTCCACATAGCGACTAACACAATGGGGCCCAAATCTCAAACAGGCTTCTCGGCACTATCCCCCATACAAATAACGACCACGGAGCTGAGCTATGTGATAGAGGGTACAGAAAAGGAGAGAGAATGTGTGTCCATGCGAAGAGCTTCACAGCCAAGTACTGAGTTACAAACGCCCCGGATCTGAACGGAGACACGAACAGACCTGAGTCACAGGGATGTATGGGACACTGCAACCGTGTCTGTTTCCTCTCTGGTTACTTTCCATCTTACACAGGGCCCATCCTGGCAGTATCTCAGCCTATTCCAGTCCATCACGCTCAAGCTAGCTTTAAAATAGCAGGTGGCTATCAAAGCAATGCTTCAACTGGTTTCACACGCGCATTTGACAGCACAATGACTGGCTTACTATTGTTCATTCAGACGTCGCTGTCTCCCCACGCGTACAGATGAGCTGCTCAAACCTCCTCTGCCTGCGGACACCCGGGATCTCAGCACGAGTGTCGGAAGCATCTTCCCACACAGAGAACTCAGAAAGCTCTTACGCAACATAGCAGCAGCCTAACCTTTGCAAACCCTGAACTGCTCCTCCGTCTCCCCCTCCCCGCCCCTTGACAACCTGTTGGCCTCTGCCACGGGAGAGGTTTTGGCGAGGAAGCTGCATTAAAAAAATCACAGCTGCGGTTGGGATGTGGTTTCGATACTTTCCCCTTCATTCCTCCCTCCTCGTATCAAACTTCTGAGAGCACCAGACTCGCTCAGACGTTGCTGTGAACACCAGCCTGTCACTCTGTTCCCTGCTCTTTGGTGTACCCCTGGTCTGACAGCCACTGCTGCCCAACGACCAGCTCAGCCTCGCACATGACAGCACGGCTGGCACTTCAAAAGTTACCAACACCTTTTTCATGGCAAAAGCAGGTCTGGTTTAGGAGTTCTGTTACAACAAGAATAAGGATCCCTGGGCCATACGCCTGCTTACCTCGCTCCAGGTTTTCCAAATGACTCCACAACCAGCAGCTCACACTCCGGCCCCAGTTCTGGGTGCTGAGCACTTGGGAAATCTGGCTCTTGAATGCCGAACTACTACACCTCTCAGTGGCTTTGTTTTTCCCTGAGCATAGAAGACCATTTCCCCCCTACCAACGCTGCCTCAGTCATTACAAGAACTCCCCCTACACACTGAGGTTAGAAATCAAACAGCCCCTTCCCACCTCATACATAACAATTCTCAAGGGCTATAATAAAAAATATCGTGCATTTCTATAGCAAATTCCATTTCAGTTCAAAGATCATAAAGCATTTTATGAACGTTAAGGAATATTTTCACGCCGAGAGGTGAACAGGTATAAAAAAAAAACCAAAACCATATGACAGATGAGGAAACTGAGGCACAGAGAGGTAAAATGACTTGCATAGAACCACCCGGGGTGTCAGAGCCCAGGAATTCCTGGCCCTCAGCCACGTACTCTGACCAATACATCATGCTGCTTTCAAAATGGTTGAATTAATGTGATGGCAGGGTCAGAGGTAAATCCTGTGAATCCATGGGACATGGCCTTTCCAAAAGGCACATGGCCCAGCCTTCAGCTACCGATACTTAGAAGTGTTGGCGGCCAATCATTCACATGCTCAGAACACACATGGTATGAGGCACTGGGAGCCTGGGCACCAGGTCTTTCTAGATGATCCCTGATATCCTAAGATTTCCCAGGCATTTTCCACAGGTTGCAGAGATCTCTAGAGCGACGGCCTCCCCTGAGAGAAGTGAAGCGGTCAAGTGGGAGGAGGGATTTGGCTCGTTTCTTCTCTCACACAACACTTACCACTCCATGATTATAAGCAGGCACTTCCTCCCCTGGTACAGGTTTTCATAGACATCAATGATCTTTACAATGTGGGCACACTGAGATGCCCTCCAGTGGAGTTCGACTTCCCTGCGGGCTTTGGGGCAGTCCTGCAGCATCTAAAAGAAAGAAGGAAAATTCAGTCTTTTCTCCCCCATGCAGCAAAATTTCCAGAATCACAATTTTGTCCAAGACACTTGAACAAAAGGTTCTGGATTCAAAAGGTCTGAGATGTTGCCATAACACCATGATATTCTGCTAATAAAGCTTTCATGTGATCTCTATTAGACCTCTGCAGATAGATCAGGGAAAGATACAACTAGGGGCATGAAAGACAAAGTAACAGAGACTGATGCACTCTCATCCATTATTATTCGGTATGAGAAAACAACAGGTGAGTTAAGTCTAGCCCTATACAATGCCTGGAGCGCCATCTAGTGGAGGATATATGCAATTCCAGCCATTTGGTTTCTCGCCAACGCAAAAGCTATTAGAGGTGTACAGTTGTGTCAAGAGCATTAATTCCTGCTTGAGCGTAACTTGGGAAATAGGTGCCCTTAAATTAACCGAACTTGCAAGTAAAGGCCAAAGACATCTATACTAGCAGCAGGAGGCCTGCACTTACTACATCTTTAGATCGACAAGGAAATAATAATCAACACTCTCTAGGGAAAGCCAGACCCTGCCTTAGGGGTTAGTTAATTTTTATTGGGAATAGACACTGCAACCGTTCACACCCAACAAAGGCAGGTGACAACGTTACCCTGGTACGTTCTGCTTTCTCTCCCAACACTTAGCTGTGAAGTCAGGGCCAGAAGTGCCACATCTCAGCCCACCACTGGGACGCATCGCAGGATGGGTGCAACGGGACCCTTGGTACTGACCGTCCGTGATGAAAGGACAGGACAAGTCAACTCACACGCGGGGGGTAGGGGTGACATTTTGGACAGCGCTTCCCTGGCAAATAATTTGAATCGCTAATTCACAAGGCTCCTCCTCTGGGGTCCCACATCAGAGTCTACCCCCCCACCCCCTGCGCTTTGGCAGAGGGATGCTCAATGCTCCCTTCAACGACCCCACACATGCAAGGATGGGGAGGAGGAGGTTTGCTTGAGCATAGTATGCAACACCCCTCCCCTTTTGGAGGCAGAGGAAGCTACCTCCACCGCATTCCCAGCCTGTCTGCTCAGGGAGCAATAAACTCTGCCCCTGCTAGCAGCAGACTTTAAGGTTGGCCAGAAAAAAAATCACTCACATAACATCAGCACCTGACATATTAACGGGGTTTACGGTCTGTCCATACACAGGACTGATGGCCCTTTGGAGCCCATCCCCTCTGTGCAGCACACGCTGCATAAATGGAGTCCAGCAGAGAGCAGCTGTTTGCATTCTCTGGCAGACGGTGCCATCTAGTGGCAAAAAGTGGCTGCATAAAAATTCTTGCCGTTCTGTTGATCTGAAGTACACACAAGCACATGTAGGTAGAGGAGCTGTGCATCACGTCACTCCCAGGGGCCTGAGCTTTGTATTGGTCAAAGAAATCAATCTACATTATAAACATCTGCAAAATCATAGTGACTTTTTTTTTAAGTCACGCTTTGCACTTATGCCGCGCCTTTCCCCTGAGGAGCTCAAAGAGCCATACAAACCAGAGCAAGCTAAGGCTATTGTCTACACTACCGGGGTAAGTCGACCTACGCTACACAATTCCAGCTACGTGAATAACCGCGGAGTCGGGGTGGAGTACAGGGGTCAACTGGAGAGCGATCTGCAGTCGATTTGGCAGGTCTTTACTAGATCTGCTAAATCAACCGCCAGTGGATCGATCCCCACGGTAGTGTAGACCTGCCCTCAAGCCTCATCACGCTTCTTTGAGGTATGCCATGATCATCATCATCCCAATCTTACAAATGGGGAAACTGAGGCATGGATAAGAAAAGTGATTTTCCCAAGATCGCACAGTGGGTTAGTGATACGTGGGGGATGGTTCACGCTTCTGACCTCATGAAACAGGTCTCTCCGCTGGGCTTATTCAGTCCATTGGATCCAAATTAGAGCAATGTTACAGACAAATCAACAGTAAAGGCCAATTGATAGATACTGAATCCATCAGCTATACCATTAAACGCCTGAAAAAGGGTACAGGAGGAGGGTCAGAGGAGAGTATTACTATTCAATGACTTGAAAGGTCATCATGGATTGGTCCATTTAGGATCTTGCTGAGTTGCACAAGTCTGGTTTCCTTAATTACGTCAATTTATCAATTTACCCAATAATTGCTCTTAATAAAATAGTTCTCTGGAGCACATTAACTAACTTCCTCATCCAATTACGGTTATTGGAGCACTGGCTACTGAAGGACATTGGCTAAACGTTTCCCTTCATGCATTTATGAGGCTGGACTTAGAGTGGTAGAGGGGAACTATGCTTTTGGTACATAGGGAACTGCGCTGGCATCCACTGAAGTCGAAGGCAAAATGCCCCATCAGTTCAGTGGCAGAAGTATCAAGCCTCTACATAATAATTAGAGCTGGTTATAAACAGCAAAAAATGCCAGTGTGAATTTAAAATTCTTTTTATTGATTTTTCAAAGTTTCAAAAATACAGCAACAAAATATTTTGATCTCTGAAAAATTTAGAGCTCTATGGCTGGTTAAAAAAAAACAGACACACACATACACCAATGAAAGTTTACATATCAACATTTTCCAAGGGGTTTGTTCTAGTCAAAAATTAAAATTTCCAATTTCCATGGGACCTTTGAGGATCCGGGCCTGTGTGTTCAGTGCTACTGCTGATGTTTCCCGGCTTAGAGGGACACAGGCAGGTTAACCATGCTTTTAAAAAACAAGCTTCTTTATCTATGTAACTAGCATCACCTCAGATTATTAGCAGAGCAGGGCATAAGACCATACCTGCTTTGAGCAGTTCTGCCCATTAACTGTAACAGCCTGCTACATTCTCACAGTTAAGTGGGAGATAGCAAGGTCCACTGGACTGGGAGTCAGGAAACCTGGGTTCTTCTTGACTCCGCTGCCGTGAAACCTGGGGCAGGTCCCTTTGAGAGATGCAATGACATGTACAATCATCTAGTGGAAGTGATAAATGCCTCAAATGCTGCCAAGGAATGGCAGAAAGAATGAAAAGTTTGGAAGGGGAGGGAAAGATTTAATTTTAATTTTCTGAAGACATTTTCTCTTGGAAATATTTGCAATTACAGATGGGACGTTTGAGAGGGTTCCTTTAGCTGCTATGGATCCCTTTAAAGATTGCTACGCTGGATGTGGAACATTAAATATCCACAATTAAGAGCCCTGGGATATCCCAACTGGGTGCTATGGACGCCTCAACCATACAGAATTCATGTTGGTTGGGGAACATGCACAGCCTGAGCTCACACCTCAGCACCACACAGAAAGCCCATTAGCTACACATCCCCCAGAGATTATAAAAAAAAAAACATCCCATGCCTGGGGAAGACAAAATAAATAAGCAAGATTCTCTCTAAATAGTACATTTCTCAGCTTTTCCAGCAGGAGTCAACAGTCCTTTAAGGAGTCCCCTGACTTCCACAAAGGCTGCTCACAGCTCTCCGGTGCTGGAAAGATTTGCTAGTCTGCCAAAGTCTAGTAATTACCATGTTTGTCAACATAAACAAACAGCCTTAAATACCTGCAGCAGACTCCTAAATACAAGACAACAAATGTGTCTTACACAAAGCCACATTCCCACCCACCCTCCCTCCCTGCCTCCAGCAAGTATTTCAAGGCTCATTGTTGTGTGCATGCTGTTAGCTGGATAGTTGTCTCGCTGATTCTGCATCCAGGCTCTTGTTGGGGTCTGCGTTTCAGTTTAATGGCAAAGTTTAGCCCCAGAGCTGGGCAACCCAGGAGGAGAGGTATCTACCTAAGCTTTCCTAGGAAACTCCCATGTGTGGACACTCAAATGCCTAGCTCAGCTCCGTTCAGATTTACACGCTGCCCATCTAATTTTATCTCCTTCGGCACCCCATGGCCTCAGATCGAGAATAAAGGCACAAGCTAGAACAGGGGTCCCCAACGCGGTGCCCGCGGGTGCCAGGGCACCCGCCGGGGCGTCTAAATGCGTCCGCATACTGGCCAGCGGACGAGCATCCGCCGAAATGCCGCTGAGAAGCAGCGTCATCCAGAGGCATCGCTGCCGAAATGCCACCGATTTTCGGCGGCAGCGCCTATTGACGTTGCCACTTGTCGGCGACATTTCGGCAGATGCTCGTCCGCCGCCACAGTCCTCCATGGCTCATCATCTGGCGAAAAAGGTTGGAGACCGATGAGCTAGAACATCAATGGTGTACTGGTGTGTGCTTAGGTGTGTAGCAGCAAGCCAGACTGTATTACACCCTTAAGGGAAAAGACTCCCTGTGGGGGATAGAACAAGCTTAGGGACATATTCTGGGACTTTTCTTTAACCAGAAAAAAAAAGCAATTTTGGCTTAATTTTACACCAGGAATAATAAAACTACCTCCCCCACTCCCTCTCTCAGCCAATACGGTACAGTTGGAGAGGGCCTGCATCCAATCAGTTTCCCGGGCTCAAGCCAGCCTTACCAAGCTGCACCACCTCTAGCTCTTCGGTTCACACATGGTCGAAAACGATGTTCTAATCTCATCCAGGTTTCCTCAAGCAAGCCTGTCAGAACCGCCGAGAGGCCTTTTAGTGCTAAGCTCACCTACAGACTGGGTCATGAGCAGCTGACTCACACCACCAACAGAATAACCAACTCCGGCCACCCTCAAGGCAAAAATGGCACCCTGGGCTTGAAGAAGGCTTAATTATTTTTTCCACAACACTTTTGGAATAACAACGACGCACTCCCATGACGGCTTTCATCCAAAGAGCCAAAAGACCTTTGCCAGGTTAAAGCCAAGTATCACCCCTCCACACACAGACAAGAAGCAGCAGTTATCCCCCACTTTACAGAGGGTGATACCAACAGCACATAAGGCAGTGTGGTCTAATGGACAGCGCATTGGACTGGGAGATGGGAATCTATTCCCAGTTCTGCCACTAACCCTCTCTCTGTTCCGCCGTTTCCCCTCCCAATCTCAGTCTGTCCTGTCTGTTTGGATTGCAAGCTCCT